GTCACTAAATGTAGTTATTAAAAGTACTTTTTAGGCATTTTAAAAATGTTTAAATGGTTAGAGGTGAATATCAATTCTTATTATGAGTTACCTATATTTAGCAATATTTTACTGAATAAACATAAATGGATGTTTGTATTTCAATTATAGAAAACACACTGCAACTGTTGGATATAGAATCATGAAAATAAGAAAACACTAACAATTCTAATCAGAAAACTGTACACAAGGGAAGTAACAAAGATGAATTGAGGCATTTTTGCTGAGTGGCATTTTCTCAGTGTAGGAAACACCAGGACAATTTAGCCCTACTCTAATGGGATCATGCATTGTTATTTATTAAGCACTATAGTCAGGTCTATCTTAGTTCTGACACTAACAACCAGGTTTGACAGCAGTTTTGCCCATACCCTGGGAGTACCTGAGGCATTTTCAAAATATATGAATGACCCTTAGTATTTGGATATTTGAAAAGGCAGGATTGAAGTCAACTATACATGGATTGAGGAATTTCACAATAAAATTTTCATCCCAGAGCCACATTTTAAACTCTCTTGCTCCCAATTTTCCACCAAAATTATCTAACCAATGTAATAGGAAAATTCCTGTGTCTCTGAGGGAATTGCAAGTCCCATGAAAAACATGACATTTTGAGTGAATTCTGCAGGAAATACAACAAGAAAAAATCAGAGGGAAACCAAAGTCTATCATCACTTATTTGAGAGGGGAACCAAACCAAACAACAACAGCAACAACAAAATGACTTTCCCACCATTCTCACTAAAACCTCTTCAATCAGAAGATGAAATAGGGATGAGAAGGAGATGGAGCAATAACTGTAAGAAGAACCCAGATCTTATCTGAGCCTCCAGATAGATGCAGGAATTCATATAGAATAAGAAGGGGTGTCCATGAACTTCCCACAAGTCACATACAAAGGCGTTATGGTTATGAAGCACTGGCAGAAATCCAGTCTTGAAATTTTCATTCAAGAATGTGGATTATACAAATCAGAAGAACTCCAAGAGAATGAAGATAGAAAATGTAAAATAAATTTTAGAATTATGCAAACGATTATTGGTGATGCTTAGAAATGTTTTTTGAAGAAGATGCATAAAAATAATAATCTTGATATACAATTTTAGATTATATCAATGAATTCTGGAAAAAGAGGAAGAAAGTAAATGTGTACATAAATATTCAGTTTTCTCAGGGGGAAGCCAGTAGGAGCTACTTAATTGTTTCAATTGATTCTAAAATATATTGTACATATCTTTAAAGTTATCCAACAATGGGTGTGAAACATCTAGGTAACTAGCTCAAAAGAAAAAAAAATAAACAAAATATAATCAACTCTCAAAGATAGGTTTATATACATTTGATTCATTCTTTCATTAAATAATAGTGAGACAAAATATACGAAGTTGTTACTAGTGACAATAATCTCTCTTCTTTAATGGGATTTTATTGGAAATAATACTACCAGGAAGCACCAGAAGGTTGGCTTCTGGACTATTTTATAATCGTGTCACTTAGCATAGACATGTTGTGTGAATATTAATATAGCCTGATATCAGATTGTTCACAGCAATGACCTTCAAGCATGCTAAGTATTCTCTGCAAGCTTGAATTTAGAGAAAGAGATCTAATAGCCAAAAGTCTAATTTCATTTTTGTGTCATAAAAATGAGGAAACTGAAGGGAATAAAGAGGTGCTTGGTCTCTTCTATGGATCATTCATTTAATACTATGTGTATTGTTAATTTAACCATAGCTATCAAAATACTTAAATATAATATTTCTTCAAAATGGAATCATTGGGAAAATCATTATTCTATGTTTTATAGTTTTCAGCATAGAGATTTTTCATCTCCTTGATTACATTTATTTTTAAGTTTTTTTGTAGATATTAATTCCTGCTTTCTTTTTTTATGCATTTTGCTGTAAGTATACAGAAATGCTACTGTTTCTTGTATGTTGATTTTGTATCCTACAACTTTACTAAATTTTTTTTATCAGTTCTAACAGTTTTTTGGTGGAATCCTTCGGGTTTTCTATATATAAGAGTATATTGTCTGTAAACAGGAAAAATTTAGCTTTTTCCTTTCCAATTTGGATGCCTTTTATTTTGTTGTCTTGACTAACTGCTCTGGCCAGGACCCCCAGTATTATATTGAAGTAACAAGAGTGGGCACTCTTGTCTTATTCGGAATTTTAGAGGAAAAGCTTTCAATTTTTCCCCATTAAGTATAATGTTGCTTGTGAGTTTGACATATATAGCCGTTATTTGGTTTAGGTATGTTCCTTTTGTATCTAACTAGTTGAGAGTTTTATCATGAAAAAATGCTGAATATTGTCAAATGCTTTTTCTGCATTAAAATTGTTATATTTTTTTTGTCCTTCATTCTCTTGATGCGATGCTTCACATTTATTGATTTATGTATGTTGAAGTACTCTTGCACTCCTTGGATAAATTCTACTTTGATCATGGTGAATGATCTTTCTAACGCACTGTTGAATTCAGTTTGCCTGTATTTTGTTGAGGATTTTAGCATTTTTTATTCATCAGGGATATTGACCTGGAGTTTTCCTTTTTTGTAGTTTCTTTTCTGGCTTTGATATCAGTCTAATGCTGACGTCATACGGTAAGTTCACAAGTATTCCCTTCTCTTCAATTTTTTAAGAGTTTAAGTAGAATTGGTATTAGTTCTTCCTTATATGTTTGGTAGAATTCAGTAGTAAAACCAGTCAGGTCATGGACTTTCCTTTAATGGAAGACTTAATTCTGATTCAATCTCCTTACTCAGTCTGTTAAAATTTTCTATTTCTTCATAATTCAATCTTGGCAGGCTGAATGCATCAATAAACTTTTTTACTCTAGATTATCCAATTTGTTGGTGTATAATTTTTCATAATAGTGTCATAATCCTGTGTATTTCCATTGTATCAGTCATAGTGTCTCCTTTACTTCCAATTTTATTCTTCTCTCTTAGCTTAGCTAAAAGTTTATCAATTTTGTTTATCTTCAAAAAGCCAATACTTAGTTTTGTTTATATTGTTTATTGATTTTCCCAAGCCTCATTTATTTCTGCTCTGATATTTATTATCTGCGTCCTTCTGCTAACTTGTTTTTGTTTTCCTAGCTCGTTAAGGTGCAGTATCACGTTATTTGACATCTCTTTATTTTGACGTAAGTGTTTATGGTTATAAACCTCTCTTTTAAAACTGATTTTGCTATATGTTGTACTTTCACTTTCTTTTTTTTATTTTTATTTTTAAAGATAGGGTCTGACTCTGTTGCCCAGGCTAGAGTGCAGTGGCACTATCATAGCTCACTATACCTTCCCCCAACTCAAGCAATCTTCCCACCTCAGCTTTCCAAGTAGACAGTACTACAAGTGTAGCCAACATGCCTTTTTTTTTTTTTTTTTTTGGAAGAGATAGGGTCTCTCTACATTGCTGTATTAGTCTGTTTTCATGCTGCTGATAAAGACACACCCAAGACTGGGCAATTTACAAAAGAAAGAGATTTATATGGACTTACAGTTCCATGTAACTGGTGAGGCCTTACAATCATGGTGGAAGGTGAAATGCATGTCTCACATGCCATCAGACGAGAGAAGAGAGAACTTGCGCAGATACACTCCCATTTATAAAGCTATCAAATCGTGTAAGACTTATTCACTATCATGAGAATAGCAAGGGAAAGGCTTGCCCCCATGATTCAATTACCTCCTACCAGACCTCTCTGACAATGTATGGAGATTCAAGATGAGAACTGGGTGGGGACACAGCCAAACCATATCATTTTGACCCTGGCCCCTCCCAAATCTCATGTCCTCATATTTCAAAACGAATTACACCTTCCAACAGTCCCCCAAAGTCTTAACTCATTTCAGCATTAACTCAAAAGCCCACAGCCCAAAATCTCATCCAAGACAAAGTAAGTCCCTTTTGCCTATGAGACTGTAAAATCAAAAGCAAGTTATTTACTTCTTAGATACAATGAGGCTGCAGGCAATGGGTAAATACAGCCATTCCAAATGGCAGAAATTGGCTAAACAAAGGGGCCACAGGCCCCATGCAAGTCTGAAATCCAATGAGGCAATCAAATCTTAAAGCTCCAAAATAATATCTTTTGACTCCATGTCTCATATCCAGGTCATGCTGATGCAAAAGATGGATTCCCATGGTCTTGGGCAGCTCCATCCCTGTGGCTTTGCAGGCAGGGTACATCCTTTTTCATGGCTGCTTTCATGGGCTTGTACTGAGTGTCTGTGGCTTTTCCAGGTGCACAATGAAAAGCTGTAGGTGGATTTACCATTCTGGGGTCTGGAGGATGGTGGTCCTCTTCTCACAGCTCCACTAAGCAGTGCCCCAGTAGGGACTCTGTGCAGGGGCTTTGACCCCACATTTCCCTTCTTCACTGTCCTAACAAAGGTTCTCTCTGAGAGCCCTGCCCCTGCAGTGAACTTCTGCCTGGACATCCAAGTGTTTCCATACATCCTCTGAAATATAGGTGAAGGTTTTCAAACCTCAATTCTTGACTTCTGTAAACCCACAGCCTCAATACAATGTGAAAGTTGTCAAGGCTTGGGGCTTGCACCCTCTGAATTCGTGGCCTGGGCTGTACCTTGTCCCCTTTTAGTCACTGATGAAGCAGCTGGGACAGAGGACACCAAGTCCCTAGACTGCATGTGGCATAGGGACCCTGGGCCTGGCCCATGAAGCCATTTTTCCCTCCTATTAGGCCTCTGGGCCTGTGATGGAAGGGGCTACCATGAAGACCTCTGACATGCCCTGGTGACATTTTTCCCATTGTCTAGGGATTAACATTCAGGTCCTCATTACTTATGTGAATTTCTGCAATCAGCTTGAATTTCTCATCAGAAAATGGGATTTTATTATCTATTTCATTGTCAGACTGCAAATTTTCCAAACTTTTATGCTCTGCTTTCCTTATATAACTGAATGCCTTTAACAGCACCAAATCAACTCTTGAATACTTTGCTGCTTAGAAATTTATTCCACCAGACATCCTAAATCATCTCTCCCAAGTTCAAAGTTCCACAAATCTCTAGGGAAGGGGCAAAATGCCACCAGTCTCTTTGCTAAACCATAACAAGAGTTACCTTTGCTCTAGTCCCCAGTAAATTCCTCATTTCCAAATGAGACTACCTCAGCCTAGACCTTATTGTCCATATTGCTGTCAGTTTTGGGCAAAGCCATTCAACAAGTCTCTAGAAACCTCCAAACTTTCCCACATTTTTCCATCTTCTTCTGAGCCCTCCAAGCTGTTCCAACGAATGCCTGTTACCCAGTTCAAAAGCTCCTTTCACATTTTCTGGTATCTACAGCAGTGCCCCGCTCTACTGGTATGCAATTGACTATATTAGTCCACTTTCAACCTGCTAATAAAGACTGGGCAATTTGCAAAAGAAAGACATTTAATGGACTTACAGTTCCATGTGGCTGGGAAGGTCTCACAATCATACTGGAAGGCGAAAGGCACATCACACATGGCAGCAGACAAGAGAAGAGAGCTTGTGTAGGGAAACTCCCATTTACAAAAACATCTTGTGAGACTTATTCACTATCATGACAACAGCATGAGAAAGACTTGCCCCCATGATTCAGCTACCTCCCACCAGGTCCCTCCCACAATATATGGGAATTCAAGATAAGATTTGGGTGGGGACACAGCCAAACCATATCAATTGTCTAGACTCATCTTGAACTCTTATTTTCAAGTAATCCTTCTGTTTTGAGCTCCTAAAGGCCACTTTCATTTGTCTCAAAAGTATTTTAATGTCTCTTTTAATTTCTTTATTGACCCATTGGTTGTTCAGGAACATGTTTAATTTCTATATATGTAATTTTTTGAAAGCTCCTCTCATAATTGATTTCTAGTTTTATACCACTGTGGTCAGAAAAGATACCTTACATTATTGTAATCTTAAATTTTTTAAGACTTGGTTTTTGTCCTAACATATGATCTATCCTGGAGAACGTTCTATGTACAGTTGAAGAGCACATGTATTCTGCAACTGTTTAATAAAATGTTTTGCAAATGTCTGTTAGGTCCATTTGATCTACAGTGTAGTTTACATCCAATGTTCTCTTACTGATTTTCTGTCTAAATGATCTGTCCTTTACTAAAAGGGGGTATTGGTGCCCTCTACTATTATTGTAATGCAGTCTGTCTCTCTATTCAGATCTATTAATATTTATGCCATATATTTAGATGCTCCGATGTTGGCTGCATATATTTTTATAATTATATCCTCTTGTCCAATCATTCTCTTTATCATTATATGATGACCCTCTTTGTCCCTTTTTACAGTTTTTGACTTAAAGTCCATTTTATCTAAGTACAGCTACTCCTCTTCTCTTTTGGTCTCCATTTAAATGGAATATCTTTTTCTATTCTTTTGCTTTCAGTCTATGTGTGTTCTTACAAGTGAAGTGAGTCTCTTTTAGGCAGCATATAATTGAGTCTTTATCAATTTATTCAGCCACCTTATGTCTTTTGATTAAAGACTTTAGTCCATTTTTCTTACCTACTGGAGGAGAAAATCACTTAGCTACAAAGGAAGAAAGCAAGAGAGTAAGAAAAGAACAAAAGATCTACAAAACAATAAAATGAAAATAGTAAGTTGTTGCCTATCAAAAATTACATTGCTTGTCAATGTTATTTTGCTTGTCAATGTAATTTTTGATAGGTAACAACTTACTATTTTCATTTTATTGTTTTGTAGATCTTTTGTTCTTTTCTTACTCTCTTGCTTTCTTCCTTTGTAGCTAAGTGATTTTCTCCTCCAGTATGTGTTGGGTCTTTGTTTTTTATTTTTTCTGTGTGCCAATTATAGGGTTTTCTTTTTAGTTACCATGATGCTTACAAAGAAAAAAAAATCTTATGGTTATAAGGGGTTGTTTTAAGCTGACAACAACTTAACTTTAAAAAGAGAAAGACCTCTATATTTTTGCTTTGCTCCCTGCCTCATATTTTGAATTCTTGATGTAACAATTTTCACCATTTTATATTGCATATCCCTTAACATCATATCATAGTTATTTTTAATAGTCATATTTTTTAACCTTTATGCTAAAGACGTAAGTAATTTACACACTACCATTACAGTATTAGAATGAATTTGACTGTGTACTTAATTTTATGTGATTTTTTTAACTTTTAGATGTTTTCGTACCACTAATTACCAACGTTTGTTCAGATTAAAGAATTCTCTTTACCATTTCTTCCCCCATTTCCCCTGACAAGACAGGGCCTCAAATTGTTGCCCAGATTGTAGCAGCAGTGGCATGATCACTGGGCTCAAGTGATCCTCTCACCTCAGCCTCCTAAGTAGCTGAGACTGCAGGCATACACCACCATGCCTGGCTGATTTTGTGTGTGTGGGGAGCAAGGGGGCAGGCATGTGTGTGTGTTTGTGTGTGTGTATGTGTGTGTGTGTGTGTAACAGTGGGGCTTTTTCATGTTTCTCAGGCTGGTCTTGAACTCCTGGGCTTAAGTGATCTATCTGTCTTGGCCTCTCAAAGTGGGATTTCAGATGTGACTCACCATGCCTGGCCTAGCATTTCTTATAAGAAAAGTCTGGTGTTGATGAACTCTTATAGCTTTTGTTTGTTGAGGAAAGACTTTATCTTTTCTTTACTTCTGATGGACAGATTTGCTGGGAATAGTATTCTTGGTTGCCAGTTTTTATTCTTCAGCATTTTAAATATATTATCCTGTTCTCTCCTAGCCTAGGTGGTTTCTGCTGATATGTCTGCTGTTAAGGTGTATCAGATTTGTCTTATATGTGATTTATTTCTTTTCATTTGCTGTTCTCAGGATCCTTTCTTTGTTTTGATTTTTGATGGTTTGATTATTATATGTATTGGGATAGTCTTATTTAGATTAAATCTGTTTGGAGAACTTTGAACTTCCTGTATTTGGATATTTTCTTCTCCAACTTCTTTGGAGTTTTCTGTTGCTATTTCTTTAAATAAGTTTCTCTCCTTCCAACTTTCTCCTCTTCTTGAATTCCTATAACTTAAACATTCTTTTGATAGAAATCCTTTATGTTTTCTTCCTTTTCATTCCTTTTTTCTCCTCTGAGTATATATTTTCAAATAATCTGTCATCAAATTCACAGACTTTTTCTCCTACTTAATTCTGCTGTAAAAGCTCTCATGCATTTTTTATTTTCAACTTCAAGATATCTGCTTCAATTTTTTATTATTTAGTCTATTAAGTTTATCATTCTGATATCTTGTTTTCCTCATTTTGTTGAATTCTCTTTATTTTACTGAAGTTTGCTGAGATTCTTTACAACAGTTATATTGAATGCTTTGTCAGTCACTTCTTACATCTTTGTTTCCTTAGGGTTGGTCCTTGGCACTCTATTTTGTCCATTTTGTGATATTTTCTCTGGTTGTTTTTGTTCCTTGTTGTTGTGTGTCAATGTCTGTGCATTTGAAGAAGTAGATACTTATTTCAGTCTTCACAGACTAGCCTTGCCCTGGAAAGCCCTGTGACAGGCACAGTGCTGGGATGTACCAGAATCCCAGGGAAGCTGTGACAAGCATGGTACTGCTCAAAACTCAGGGCTCACTGTGGCAGGAAAGCATTGAGACAGGTCAGAAGCCTGGGGCCTGCTATGGCTGGCATGGTGCTACGAGAAGCCCCAGGTAGTTGTGACCAGAGTGTCACTGGGACATTCCAGAAGCCCAGGCTGCTGAGGGTTGCCTCCCACTGAGACCTGTCCAGAGCCCAGGACCCCTGATGTCAGCCTGGCAATGGTATGAGCCAGATATTGAGTTCACCATGCAAGCCTTATGCCTGAAGCTGTGCAGTCCCACTTGTTGCCAAAGTAGGTTTAAAGGCTCAGTCATAAGTTACTAGCTCAAGTATCAGGCCCTGAATATCCCCCCAGTTCTTTGTTTTACTGTAATAGATCTCATGTTGGGATCTAAGTTAAAGTTCTGTAATCACCTCCCTCTCTTTATCCCAAGTGGACAGTATCTCTCTGTGCTGTGCTGCCTGGGATTGGGGGAGGGGTGGTGTAGGTAATGCAAAACTATTCTTCCTACCCTCCTCAATGCATCTTTTTCTTATTATTGTGTTACAGCTAGGTACTGTTATCTCTCAGTTGGTTTCCTTAGTTCTCATGCAGGTATTTTTGTGAGTAAACAGTTTTTTACATTGATGTTTCTGTGATGGGATGATTGCTGGACAGTCCATTCCTACCATCTTGTTTTGACCCTTGTAATTCTACTTTTAAGGTTAAAAAAAACCTCCCATGTCTTTCTTCTTTTCTGTTTTTGAGTCCTAAAGAAACAGTAATTTTGTATCATGATATTTGGTCTCATATAAAAGCCCAAAATAAGTCAACCAGAAATATTTCCTAAGTTTGTATTTTTTTTCTGTTCCTATTATTCTGACCTACTTAAGAACTTCTTTTTTTGTTGTTGTTCTGATCCCTTTCTATGTTAGTTTAAAAAAATTTTCAGACATTGCACCTAATGAGTCAAGTAGAAATCAGTCAAGTTCAGTATTGATTTAGCAGAAGGGTAAGAGAAGCAAGTACTTCAATATTTTCCTACCTCCCTTGGAAAGATTAAGAAGAACTTAATTCAACCTGAAGTGGTGTAAATATCCTGAGATGAAGCCCCTTTTTACATGTGCACTACTGAACAGAATTGATGTAAAGAAGATAACCACTGTCTCAAAGTGAAAGTACATCTTCTATGAACAAGTTTACAGCTGTTCAGGGCAGAGGGCAGAGACATAAGAATGAGGGAGTTGGGAGTAGAACACGCTTTCTGAGCTGGTAAGGAAATTAAAAATAGCCCAGAACTATCATTCATCAAATGGTTTTTCTTTTTTTCAGTTCTTAAGGTATTGCTGAGGAAGTAAAAAAGGAAGCATATTTCATCTGGTAATGTCCTTGAATGTTCAGTGTTTAATTTTGTTTTGGGAGCCTCTTGATCTTGGGACAGCTGTGAAGAAAGAGCCTCCCTCTCTTAGCTTCCTAGAAGAGTACTAAATGATAGGGATATTCAAACCAGAACTGAGATAAGGAGCAATGTTTATTTCTGTTTAGAATTAGGGAGAATAAACATTATAAAGATATATGTTCCTTTCTACAAACACCAGGGAAATAAAAAGAATAGAGATATGGAATGTGCAACATTTTTATTTCAGAAGTTTTATAGAACTGCTAAGTGATTTTGTTTTTCCCAAGCAAGATTCTTTCAACAAGTATTTCTCTTATTCGGTATTTTTTCTTTTATTTATGTATTTATTCAATGAATGTATATTAAACATTCACTACTGCCAAAGCACTGCCAAGTGCTCATCACAGTACAATTTCACAGATGCTTAATACTCAGGGACACTGGTAGTAGGTTTCTGCTTTTATTCCCACAAAAGAAAGGGATGGACATTACTCCTCCGCCCTTGCATTCTGGCTGCTAGCTCTTGTTTCTCTCTGCATTGGGCCTTGTTCTCAATAGTATTGATCTTTAATTAGTTCCATTTAATCTGCATAAAGTGATTAAAAATTGGTTAGCACTATACATGAAGTAGGCATAAGTTCTGAATCATATTTTGAGGCTCTCTTATACAGGAAAAAATATAATTAATGTATTGATTTATAAGCTTTACTGTACACTGTAATAACATGGAAGGTTTTTTTAAATACTGATGCTAGTCTGTGTCCATAGCAAATAAATTTATAATCCCCAGGAACAAGACCAGGCATCAGTATTTTTTGCACAACTACCCAAGTGATTTCAATATGCAGCTAAAGTTGAAAATCAGTGCCCTAATAAACACTGAAGCAGCTGTGTTCTTGCATCTGGAATTTATTTTTCCTCATTGCCTACGTTTGTTATATTGTTGTTTAATGGGAGTGGAAGCTAGTTATATTTCTGAAAATTAGATGCTGGAAATTTCACTCTGTGTTCACTGAAGTGTCATTTCCTAGAGATTAGAAACACTTAGTTGTAATTATTAGAACTTAGGGTAGTACAACCATTCCAGGATAGCCAATGGCAAGAATCAGGACCTGTATTTCTCCAACTAAGGATAGAATGCTCAGAGAGTACATGAAGAAAATTCTAAAGCATTTATAGACATTTAATCTGGGCCAGGCATGGTGGCTCATGCCTGTAATCCCAGCACTTTGGGAGGCAGAGGCGATGGATCGCATAAGGTCAGGAGTTCGAGACCAGTCTGGCTAACATGAGGAAACCCTGTCTCTACTAAAAATACACAAATTAGCTGGGTGTGGTAGCATGCACATGTAATCCCAGCTGCCCTGGAGGTTGAGGCAGGAGAATCACTTGAATCTGAGAGGCAGAGGTTGCAGTGAGCCGAGATCATGCCATGTCACTCCAGCCTGGGCAAAGAGTGCAAAATTTCGTTTAAAAAAAAAAAAAAAAAACACTTAATCTGCAAATATCTAAGTACTTGTTTTCTGGTAAAAGTGCAGCAACTAACTACATAATACACAGCAGAAAAGCTAGCCTCTCTCAGAATATCCCCTCCTCTAGCTCTTTCTCCCTTCATTTTGCAACACTGAAAGGAAAATAGAGCAGAAGTGTTTCAAATCATTGTTGAACATTCTTATTTTAAAGATAAGGCCAGACACGGTGGCTCATGCCTGTAATCCCAACACTTTGGGAGGCCGACGTGGGCAGATCACTTGAGGCCAGAAGTTTGAGACCAGACTGGCCAACATGGCGAAACCCCATCTCTGTAAAAAATACAAAAATTAGCTGGGTGTGGCGGTACATACCTGTAATCCCAACTACCTGGGAGGCTGCGGCATAAGAATCACTTGAATTCAGGAGGCAGAAGTTGCAGTGTGCCAAGATCGTGCCACAGCACTTCAGCCTGGGAAACAGAGCAAGACTCTACCTTCAAAAATAAGTAAGTAAATAAATAAATATTAAGAATAGTTTCGGGGAAGCAGTTTAGAAATTTTAGAAGGTTAATTCTATCTTTTGTGCCTATATTTGTTTCTTAGGGCCTTTTTTTAAATTATTATTATGCCTAAAGCAAGCATTATAGCCAAACAGTGTTTTATGCAAAAGATTACTAAATGTAACCAACTCCTTTTTACAGAAGAAAGTGAGGGAGGAATATATGCAACTTCTCACAAAATGATCACGTGAATAGAGTGAATACAATGTTGGAATCAGTGAAAGTCCATATAAAAAATATAGAAACTACAGTAAAATAATACTGCATAAAATGTTATTTGCACATACACTGAGTGTTGTTATACCTCTGTCCCAATTGTCAACTCTTTATTTGGATTTTTAAATTTTTAAATATGTTATAAAATATAAGTATACCTATCTTTAACACAAGAACTAAAACATTACAAATACATTTAAACCCATCAATCTACCCATCCCAGATCCTATTTACTCTCCTTCCCTCTTACAAAGAAAATTTCTATCTTGAACTTCAGTTTTATCATTTTCATTTTTTTGAAAACTTTTATTCTGTCCATTTAGACCTTAAAAATAGTGTTTTGCATATGTTAAGCTATACAAACAATTATATGCTATGTGTACTTCTCCAACTTGCTTTTTCTCTTTCATAATGTGAGATTCATCTACATTGATATCTATATGTTATTCACTTGTGCTCCTATAGAAATTTGCTCCTATAGAATATTCAAATGCATGAATTATATCAAATTTCATAATTTGTAATAGTTTGTGTTGTTATCCATTTGTGTTTTTACCTTTTGTACTTTAAAAATTTTTCACTATAATAATGCTTCAATGCATAGATTTTTGTGTTTGAGTATCCCTAATGTACATACTCAGGGCCAGAATTCATGGGCCATAGGATATATACAATTTCAACTCCACTAAATATTGTCAGATTGATCTACAATGTACTTAACCCAGAAATGTATACTTCCACAAGCACTAGATGGGAGTTCCTCATTTTAATTTTCTGGGAGTGCTCTAGAAATTCTTTCTAGCACAGCATAGCCACAAATCACTTAAATAAGAATCATATTGAATACCATTCATATGATATAAAATGTTTGTGCTTTATTGCTAAAGTTGGATCTTAAAGTTTTTGAGCCTTTTAAGGAATGACAACTTAAATAGGTATTATTGGATTGTGGATATTTTGAAAATTCCGAAAGTACTTTACAAATAGGTGAAATATAAATTTAATAATAGTAATTGTATCTATAGGAATCCCCTTATAGAATAGTTTCATGATGGATTGTGATTAAGGCAAGTAAGTAAAGGATCAGATCAAAAATACCCATTTGGCATATTAAGCATTAAAGCTAATGATTGGAATAAATCACATCAAATGCAAACACCTTTTTTTTTAACCAGAGAATAAAAGGATAAAGCTATCCATTAGTGAAAAGGAAAGAATTGTTTGATTTATGCTAAGTGAATTTTAAATCCAACAAGCATCTCCCCAGACTCTGAAAGGTAAAAGTTAATAGCATGTTTAATTCTTTGCTATTAAAATTAATGTGCATTTCTGAAGGCTAAAAATTGTTTATGTAAGTCACAGCACAAAGCCAACACTCAGATTCATGAGGCAAAAAGACCAATCCCTTTCTTTATTCTTTCATTCTCTCATTCAAAAAAATTACACTTCTAGAGAAACTTCTGTGTATTTGATATTTATGCTAGGAACAGTGATAAGCCCAAGGAGATCTCCATGCATGCGGAAACTGATATTGACAAGTACAGATTATATTGTTTTCTTGCATGCAGATCTCTAATACATTGTCCCTGTATTGTCAGGTATCTCTTTATTTGAGCTTTGATGTTGCTATTGACTGACTGGCCAATAGAAACAGGAAGAAAAGCTCCAGAAATCAAAGGACACAACCATGTAGGGATTTGTGGAAGGCATTCAACAAAATGCCTCCTAGCATTCCTACCCTTTTGTAGTTTCCTCCCACATTGACTAGGACTGACATGCAAAACAAATAATATATTGAGAAGTAAATGTGTGTTGATTCCTGAAGCAAGGTCGAAAAAGACTTTGCAGCCTCAGCATGCTTTCTTAGATAACCTGCTCTGGGGGAAGCCAACTACCATTTTGTGAAGACACTCAAGCAGCAATACGAAGAAACCCATATAGAAAGAAACTGAGCCCTCTTGTCAATCCCCTACTTCTTTTTTTCTTTTTCCTTGAGTCAGTGTCTCGCTCTGTAGCCCAGGCTGAAGTGCAGTGGTGCAATCTCGGCTCACTGCAACCTCCACCTCCTGGATTCAAGCAATTCTCCTGCCTCAGCCTCCTGAGTAGCTGGGATTACAGACATGTGTCACCACACCCAGCTAATTTTTTTTTTTTTTTTTTATTTTTAGTAGAGATGGGGTTTCACCATGTTGGTCAGGCTGGGCTCAAACTTCTAATCTCATGATCAGCCCGCCTTGGCCTCCCAAAGTGCTGGGATTACAGGCATGAGCCACTGTGTCCAGCCCTTACCAACCCCTACTTTCTAGTCAACTGAGTGGGCCATCTTGAAAGTGGATCCTCCAGCCCCAGTCAAGTCTGCAGATGACTACAGCCCCAGCTGATATCTTGATTATAATTTCATAGGAGTCTCTGAGCCAGAACAACCCATGTAAGCTGGTCCTGAACTCCTGATACATAGAAAGTGTGTAAGATATAAAAAATGTTTATTGTTGTTTTAGGCTGCTAAGATGTGGAGTAGTTCACTAAAACAGGATTGAAAAGAGAAAATAAGAACAACTCTCTCCCTTTCTCTAAAGCTATAATAAATGTTTCTCTTTACTTTTTCTACATGAGGAATTATAACAGCTGGGTGTGATGTGTCATGCTTTAATTCCAGTTACTCAGGAAGCTAAGGTGGGGGATCACTGTAGGCAAGGTGTTTGAGACCAGCCTGAGCAAGAAGGTGAGATCCAATCTCTCATTAAAAAAAATTTAAATTAGCTGGTGTCGTGGTAAGCACCTGTGGTTTTTACCTACTTGAGAGGCTGAGGCCAAAGGATTGCTTGGGCCCAGGAATTTGCAGTTGCAGTAAGCTACGATCACACCACAGCTCAAACAACAGAGAAAGACCCTATTTCTATAAAGTTACAATACAATTAACAATATAATAACCCATTTTGTACAAGTATTTCATCATTTTGCCCAACTTTTAGCTAAATCACTTCATGCCTTTATGAAAGTCACTAAATTGCCTTCAAAATTAACCTTCCTATCAATGGGATAATTATAATGTGGTAATACCAAGATATTATAATATTATGCTTTTAATAAAATGTTTGAAGTCTACAAGTTGAAAACAAATAGCAGTTTAAATTTAGTATAGTTTACTACAGAAAACTTGAAACATATAAGAGAAGACGACTTATCTTGTGCAAGATCTAAAAATGATTTTGACTAAAAATATCTAGCATTATATTGCGTGTACATCTCAAGTTGAAATGGAATAGAAGTTTGAGGCTGCCATGAACTATGGCTGTGCACTGCACTTCAGCTTGAGCAACAACAACAACAACAACAACAACAACAACAAAATCACTGTCTCTGGAATACAAAGAAAAAATAAAAAGAATTGCAATGGTCTTCCAGAAGGGAAAGCGTCTAAGTTTCTAAGTCACTAGCCTAAAAATCAACTTAATATAGTAAGTTTAATATAGTATCTTAGTTCATTAGTTTAATTTTCCTTAATAGAATATCTGAAACTGAGTAATTTATAAAGAAAAGAAAACTATTTCATATATAGTTACAGAAGCTGAGAAGTTTAAGTTCAAGGGGCATATCTAGTGAGGGCCTTCTTGTTGGTAGGCTCTTAGCAGCATATCAAGAAGGAGCAAGGCATCACATGGCAACAAAGCTGAGTGTGCTAACATGCTAGTTCAGGTCTCTCTTCTTTTTCTTATTAAACCGCCAGTTCCCGCTCCCATGATAACCCATTAATCCATTAAATGACTTATCCATTAATCCATGAATGGATTAGTCCATTCATGCAGGCAGAGCAGTCATGATTCAATTGCCTCTTAAATACCCCAACTCTCAACACTGCCACGTTGGGATTAAGTTTCAACATGCGTTGTGGAGGAAATATTCAAACTATAACATACAGTAGAAAGCAAATGGATCACTGATTCTTTACCTCATTCAGAAATATGCATTGAGAGCTAAAAACCACCAAAATAAAGAGTAGATAATTGCACTTTGAATAGATCATTAAAAAGAAGACATTGGAATTCAACAGAAAAGTGACAGAAAATGCCTAATGCAAGAAAGGAGAGGGAAGTGAAGCAGTTTGCTCAGCCAAGATCAGCAGGGAGATGGGAATGATTTTCCAGTGTGGGGAAAGAGTAAGTAAAGACCTGCAGTGGACCACATTCCAACTGTGGACTTCTGCAGTCCCAGCCATGGGAGATCCCCTACACCTATATAAGCCCTGAAACAAATACATGGAGCTTCCTGGAGATTACACAATGGAACTGCTCCAAGGAATGAGTTTGTACTGGGTTTCCCACTTCCCCCAACCCCTAAGCATCTACAGCAAGGTTCCATTTTAAGAGCGGAGCCCATAACAGTCTGTAAACTACTCTGGGACCAGCAGTGCTAGAGCTAAGTCATGAGCAAAGTGCAGGCTGCTGCTGCTGCTGGGACTAAAATGCAGTGAAGGCAAGGGTTACTGCCACTGGGGCTGAGGCAAGAGCAGGGCATGTGTTTTCCTGCCCATCAGACTAGGCTGCCACCACTGAAAGTGGCCCTGTCCTCCTCAGTGCCAGAAATGTAGTAGAGCTTCTTCCACCTCCTACTTGAGCATTCTGCAGGAGGCCTGGGAATCTCCCCACCCGTACCTACCATGGCAAATACCTACACATACCATTGTGGGGCCCTAAGTCAAGCCCAACCAGCTAAGCTTGAACCCCCAACATGCTAAAGCATGCAGTCCAGAGGCCTAGAGATTAACCTAATCCAAAAACAATGGCACCTGAGCACCTCTCCCATAGCCCTGATGTTGAACCTACCCACCCTGTCACTACCACCATAGCTGGCACCTACCTACCCATGCTATCTATGGGTATGGAGATTGGCGTGCCCAGCTTATTTCAGCCACCATTAACAACAGCTCATACCACTTGGGATCCAGAGTGGTATCATCAGGCACGCCATGCCAGCTAACCAGGAGATGGAGAACACACCCACTGCCCAGACCACTGCAGCTACTATTGTCATCCAAGTAAGCTACCTGGAGGCCCAAAAATTGGCCTACCTGGACCCACTGACAATGGTGCCAGTGTATGCCACCCTGGAGACCAATGAAGGGTACAATTAGCCCACTGCTGTTACCACTGGGGCCCATGATGGGCAATGTAACATCCCAGTCCCCCAAAAAATTTTACGACAGCCTCCACAAATGACTGCACCTTAAGCCACCAAGAAAATCACAGATACCACTAATGCCATTTGCAGCATCATTCCTGTATGCAGAAATCATACAGAAACTACATTACTGCAAACACCCAGAATCAAAGCCAAAGTGCTCTACCCAACCAATAGCATAGAAATATCTTCAGGGAAAAGTCCTCTCCTATGAGAGCAAATTCAGAAAACTGGAAGGCAAGTATTACACCAGATGTGTAAATATCACCTTAAAGACATAGGAAAAATAAAAAAGCAAGAAAATATGACACCTCCAAAGGAGCACTGTAACTCTCTGACAATAGATCCCAATCAAAAACAAATGTATGAAATTTCAGAAAAAGAATTTAAATTAGTATTTTTCAAGAATCTCAATGATATACAATAGAATACTAAAAGACAATACAAAGAAATCAGAAAAACAATTCAAAATTGAAAATACAAGAGAGAAATTTGCCAGAGATAGGT